AGTCGTGGTCTTGTAGACGTAGCTTTGAGGGCGGCGGATTTAGGGGTGAATCGACAAAGGGAATGAACGATGTAGACGGAGGAGCTGCCGGGGCAGCGAAAGTTGGGGACGGCGGATGATTTGGGAAAGAGGTCTTGGGGACGACGAGGGTTTAATTTGAGGATTAGGGATAGAAGTTTAAAGATAAAATAATATTAATAATATATTGATAATTATTAATAATATATATTAATATATTAATACTTGTATATAAAATTGTTTTTTCGGTTCGAAAAATCGATTTTAAAGTTCAAAAGTAATTCACAGCCGGTTGAATTTTCAACTCCGGTTGAAAATTATTTTGCAACTCTAGTTGACATGTCAACCGCGGTTGGCCGAGAGAGTACATGAACCGCGGCTTGAATTTCGCCCGCGGTTGAAGATCGTCCTTGCTTGGGTCATTGTTCATAAAACCAGTTTCTTTCTCAAGAAACATGTTTCTTGTTCAAGAAACAGGTTTCTTGTTCAAGAAACAGGTTTCTTGTTCAAGAAACCAGTTTCTTGCTCAAGAAACAAGTTTCTTGTTCAAAAAAACTGTTTCTTGTTCAAGAAACAACATCACGTAATCTTCCAACTCGAACGACAATCCACTAACACTAGATAGCGCGCTGAACTCTAACATTGATATTCAAGAAACAGGTTTCTTGTTCAAGAAACCAGTTTCTTGCTCAAGAAACAGGTTTCTTGTTCAAGAAACAGGTTTCTTGTTCAAGAAACCAGTTTCTTGCTCAAGAAACAGGTTTCTTGTTCAAGAAACAACATCCCGTAATCTTCCAACTCGAACGACAATCCCCTAACACTAGATAGCGCGCTGAACGCTAACATTGATATTCAAGAAACAGGTTTCTTGTTCAAGAAACCAGTTTTTTGCTCAAGAAACAGGTTTCTTGTTCAAGAAACCCGTTTCTTGAACAAGAAACCTGTTTCTTGTTCAAGAAACAACATCTTGTAATCTTCCAACTCAAACGACAATCCACTAACACTAGATAGCGCGCTGAACGCTAACATTGATATTCAAGAAACAGGTTTCTTGTTCAAGAAACCAGTTTCTTGCTCAAGAAACAGGTTTCTTGTTCAAGAAACCCGTTTCTTGCTCAAGAAACATGTTTCTTGTTCAAGAAACCCGTTTCTTGCTCAAGAAACATGTTTCTTGTTCAAGAAACCTGTTTCTTGAACAAGAAACATGTTTCATCCCGTAATCTTCCAACTCGAACGACAATCCACTAACACTAGATAGCGCGCTGAACGCTAACATTGATATTCAAGAAACAGGTTTCTTGTTCAAGAAACCAGTTTCTTGCTCAAGAAACAGGTTTCTTGTTCAAGAAACCCGTTTCTTGCTCAAGAAACATGTTTCTTGTTCAAGAAACTTGTTTCTTGAACAAGAAACATGTTTCATCCCGTAATCTTTCAACTCGAACGACAATCCACTAACACTAGATAGCGCGCTGAACGCTAACATTGATATTCAAGAAACAGGTTTCTTGTTCAAGAAACCAGTTTCTTGCTCA